TGGGCAGACATACCTGGAGGAGGATTTCTGCTTCTAGGACTTCCTGATGAGTTACTGTTGCATACCAAAGAGTCCCCCATCCATAAAGCTGCTCCCATTTGTAAGCATTTCCGTATCTGATTTGTCAGGTCAGGTCTGCTAGAATGGACTTGAGTGAATTGTACAGAAAGACCTTTTGGCATTCTGCAGTCTTAGTGGCTTATTGTCCTTTCCTTTAAGAGTGTCATATAGGGGTTTACCATGATCCCAACGTTAGGGATCCAAATACAACAAAGCCCAGCCATTCCTAAGAATCCTCACAATTGCCTTCTGGTGGTTGATGCAGTCACTCTAATGCCTCCCTTCCTTTTGGAATGTGTTTATTTGTCATAGATATTTTACAGTTGGTTGAGAAGTTTTCACTTTTCCTTTGAAGACTTTATATCCTCAGTCTGCCAGAAAGTTGAAAGTAAGGATTGTATTTTGGTCTGAAGCTTCCTTTGTTTTACTAGACATTAGGTATATTATTCATATATTGCAGTACAACTCCCTCATTTAATTGGCAGTCCCTCGAGTCCTTGGCTTAGGCTTGCCAAGAAGATGGTGGGGGATTCTTCGATCCTTGTGGGAGCACCATCCAACAATAGGGTTGATTCATATTAGTCTCTGGATTATCTCATTCAAAGGCAACCTTTCCTAGGCCTCAGGACTGAGTGGTATGCAGTAAAAGGGATCTTTAAGGTCCAGAATTGTAGACCAGCAAAAGGCTCCAGATAAGATTGCAAGCAAAAGTATAGGGATTTGGCACTATGGGATGTATATCATGTACAATTTAGTCACTGGGTCTCAGATCCCATGCAAACAATAATATCCGGCCCCTGGGTTTTATACTGGCAATATTGGAGTATTTTATTGATACTGGTAAGTTTGATAAGGGGCTTCCCTGGTACCTCAGATGGTAGACAATCTGCCTGCAATTCAGGAGACTCAGGTTCTATCCCTGGGTAAGGAAGATCTTAAGGGAATGGCTACCTACTCCAGTATCCTTGCATGCAGAATCCCATGGACAAAGGAGGCTGGTGGGCTACAGTACATAAGGTCATAAAAAGTAGGACATAACTGAACGATTAACACTGCACCACTGAGGTTGGATTAATTGGCATTTAATAAAGGTGCTTGTCAGAGGCTTTATACTTTACGTGCCTCTTTAAAGGCTATTGCTTTTTCAGTTCCGATACTTGGCACCAGGCTGGAGTTTTCCTACGACTGGGTCAGCGGTCTTGGCTCTTCCTGGCCTCCCCTCAAATCAAGCATCTCTCTTACCTTTTGCAGAATTTATTCAGGGACGTCTGGTTGAAGTTTGTCTTTCCATTGTCATAGCACAGCTTAGAGGGTGCAGGCTTGACCTAGGGAGGAGTACTTTAGTGTCTACTGTTTCTGGTGAGAAAGTCACTTGGGCATTTCACTTTGTTAGATTTTCCCCCAGTAAGGGGATAGGGCATTCAGGCAGATACAGAAAGCTGTGCCCTACATATGGTTTTTTTTCTCCCCCAATTATGTAAGATCTTAGGTAGAAAATGGAGACTATACATATTCGAATGCTCTGGATTGATCTCAATCATCTAGCGCTTTAGGAATTTCTTTCATTGGTTATTGCCCTGCCTGAGGGCAATTTAAAAGGTACTAATTTTAAATGTTTAAATTTAAATTAAACCTTTACAATATAATAAACCATCTACTCTTTTAAGGAATAGTTTTTTGATCCCTATTTTACGTATGAGAAAACAGAGGAACAGAGAAGGTAATTAACACTCTCCAATGCTCTCTTTAGTAAGTGGCTAGACTGGGAATTGAACCCAGGCCGTGTGTGTGGGTAGAATCCATGACATCAAACTGTTTCTCTGCAACAGGAGAGCAAGGAGCACCTTGAGGCTTCCCTGGTGGCTCCGTGGGAAAGACTCCTTCTGCCAAAGCAGGAGACCTGGGTTTGGTCTCTGATCCGGGAAGATCCCACATTTCGCAGAGGACCTCAGCCTGCACATCACAACCACTGAACCGGTGCTCTCGAGCCGGGGAACCACAACTGCTGAGCCCCTGTGCCCCGACTACTGAAGTCCAAGCGCCTGGAGCCCATGGTGTGCAAGAGGCGAAGCCACCACCGTAAGAAACCCACATCCCGCAACTAGAGCAAAGCCTGCGCAGTAACGAAGCCCTAGGACAACCGAAAAGTCAATTTCTAGTGATAAAGATGAACAGCTTCTCACCGGGTGCTTGCTGCTATCTAGAGGAGCACGGTGAATTGACATATGCAGGATCTGAGATATTGTCAGAGAGAGGAAAATGAAAGTGTTAGTCACTCAGTCCTGTCTGACCCTTTGCGAACCCATGGACTGCAGCCCGCTAGGCTACTCTGTTCATGGAATTCTCCAGGCAAGAACACTGGAGTGGTTTGACATTCCCTTCTCCCAGGGATCTCCCTGACCCAGGGACTAAACCCGGGTCTCCTGCATTGCAGGCAGACTCTTTACCGTCTGAGCCACCATGGAATGCCCATCGGAGAAAGAGGAGAGATCCTCAATGGGAGCGGAGAATGAAACAGTGAAAAGAGCCCGGTTGTCTCAGCACAAAGCAACAAGCACATCTTCTGGAAATTTAAGTGAAGAGACTTTATCCTCATTCAAAAAAAATATTCAAGTGCCGTCATGATGAAATGGGAAAGTTAATTCCTTCGTAGCCAAGCTTGTTTATATATTTGTAAATATTCAAACCAAGACTTAGTCGCTCAGTCATGTCAGACTCTCTGTTATCCCATGCATTGTAGCCCACCAGGCTCCTCTGTCCATGGAATTCTCCAGGCAAGAGTACTGGAGTGGGTTGCCATTCCTTTCTCCAGGGGATTTTTCTGACCCAGGTATCAGACCCAGGTCTCCCACATTGCGGGCACATTCTTTACCGTCTGAGCTACAGGGAGGAATATTTGTAAATATTTGAATATTTGTAAATATTCAAAGCACTTTGCAAACTTTAGGGAGACTCAGATTGAGCATGTGTCAATCTGAGGACCCTGTCTTATCAAGGACCATAAGACAGGCAAGATCTGTAAAATTTTAACTTTTGCCTTATTAACTACACCGAGGCACAGAAGAAACACATTTTGAGTGGTTTTGATAGGCAAAAGCAATATTAGGGTTCACATGTGTAGAGAGTTCATCTGATCAAATAGAGTTGACCCAGAGGCTGAATTTTTAAAGGGGAAGAGGAAAAAAATAAAGATTTTTTTGGGGGGCTGTGCTGTGTCTTTGTTGCTCCACATGGCCTTAGTTCTCCTGAGGCATGTGGGATTATAATTCCTGGATCAGAGATCAAACCCGTATCCCGTGTGTTAGAAGGCAGCTTCTTAACCAATGGACCACCAGGGAAGTCCCTATCATTTTTTCAAGAAATCAGTTTTTTAACTGGAAAATTTCTTTCTGCATAGTCAGAAAAGGATAAAAAGTTCAGTCTTCTCCCCATTCTGAAAGCAGACCCCAGGAGGCCACACAGGTCACAAACAGGCTGATTTGGGAACACAGGGTGTGGGCACAGGTGGGCAGAGTCTGCAGTGAGCTAAAGGTCAAGGTGAGGTCAGCACCCCTCTGGGTGTTCCATCACCTCAGCGCTTCTTCTACATGTTAGTTACCCTGGGCTTGGGCTCTCCCATACTCCCAGTCCTCTCTCCACTGAGGTTTTCCACACCCATGACTACAAAATAACCTATATAGGCATCATGGTGTCTCCCATAGGTCTGTTTCCAAAGCTGACATCCACTCTGAACTCCAGATTCATTTCTCTGGCTACCTGCATGACAGTTCCACTTGCAGATTTGACATGGCATGCCTTCTCCAAATTCCCATCCCAGCTGTGCCCTTGGCAAAAGACCCCAAATCGATCAAATGGCACCACCATCAACCCAGGTTAAATTTGACTATTTTCTCCATATCTCCCTCTTCCTCTCTGGTCCATGCAGAAACCTTGCTGATGTATCCAAATCCATCTGCAGTGTGTCTACATCTCTGCATCCTCCACTCCAGTTCATCCACCATTGTCTTTCACCTGGACCAGCTGTGATACCTGCTAGCTGGTTTCCCAGCTTCAACCCTTCCCACTCTACATTCCTCAATGCACCCAGTACCACTGACTTCATATTCAGGGGGATTCATTTTACTTTATATTCCATATCACAAATTGAGCTTCATTCATGAGCTTATATTTTTCACCCTCCAATGGCTGTACAGAATCACCCTCAATAGATTTGAAGTAAATTTTGAGTGCTACCATGGTACTTTATCTCAGCGTGGTACAGTTCAAGTAAAACATCACAGGTGGATGTTTTTTAAGGGTAGCATCCATGCTCAACAGTGGTGACCACAGGAAGTTCTGTCTCTAGGAAAGCCAGCCCTGCTACACTTCGATTGTCACTGTACGCCATGGTGAGCTTGTCAGAGAGAGACTCTGCTATTCCAGCATCCAGGAAGCCCATCTTGCTACCCAGAAGTCTGCTTCAAACAAAATGAAGACCCCTTTATTTCATTCCCTTCCCAATCCCTCTCCCTTCACTGTTTCTGGAGATCAACCCGAATCATGATTTTCAGGCCATATTTTTATTGCTCATCTATTGACAGGCACCCACACCCACCCCATATACAACATTGTTTATTAGAGGAAGGTGCATTTTGTATTGTTCAGGGTCCCATGGAACCCCTTCTCCCTCCCTCTGTGCAGATCTTGAGCTGCCTGTGGACAGGGTTAGCTCAAGAGACTCCCGGATAGTTGTTTTAAAACTTGAAAGGTTAAGGGTTTGCACGCATGAATCAACAAGGGACCTTTATTTCTTTAGGAAGCAATTTATTGGAAGAACTGGCAACACTGAAAGAAGGAAAACTTAAGTCAACTTATTCTGCAAGGGCAATAATGCAGACTTCATGGCAGGCAGGGTGACCGTGGCCACTCACCCAGGACTCGGGGGAAAGTCCAGTCTAGGATCAGTCCTCCTTGTCGCCATGGCCCAGGGTAAGCTTGTCAAGGACGTCATCCGCCAGGCCGCCTTCCGGGGACCCCGCGTTGCTCAGGTTGCTGACACGGTCCTCTAACTCCTTGATAAACTTGACCTGTTGGTCCAGGTAGCCGGTCTCCAGGAAGTGGCACAGGTCAGCGTCGCAGCTCTCAATGGCCAGCTGGTACAGGTCGAGCAGGCTCTGGTTGACGCACTTCTCCAGGTGCAGGGTGTCTTGCAGGGCCTGGAGCCCGCTCTCCCACTCTTGGCTCTCGGGCTTTCTGATGCCGAGGAAAGAGACGCGGCCCCCACGCTCTTTCTGCAGGAACATCAGGCTCTCCGCTGTCTTGCTGTGCTCATGGGAGCCAAGCAGGAAGAAGCGGGAGAAATGCTTCAGGGCCATGTCATCACGGTTGAGGTAGAAGGCCACGGCCAGGCACTGGAACGAGGCGTGGAACTCCAGGGCGGCGTGGTTGTTGACCGCGGCCTCACACTCAGGGCGGTTGCTCTGACGCACCTCTGAGGTTGGTGTGGGCACCATGTCTGGCGACTCCAAGACCGAGGGAATGGCGGCTGGGACGACGCGAGTGTGGGCCCAGCATCGGCGGGGGTGCGGGCGCCAGCGGCCTCCCCGCAATCTTCCCATGGTGGGCGGTGTGGGCGGCCTGAGGCGAGCTCCGGGTCAGAGGGCAGGTGGCTGGGTGAGGGCTCTGGGAGGGAGGGGTAATGGC